GTAGACCAGGTCCAGGTACCAGTCTAGGTGTTGTAGACCAGGTCCAGATGTAAAACCTCCGATCTTCATGAGGATTCAGTCAGAGAGTTACAGGAAGTGAACCTGGAGTTTCAGAATAAAGCTGACGGACACTCTTCAGAATAAGTCGGTGTCCTCTCAGCTTGTTCCAGAGGAGGTCCTGGGTTCCTGCTGGACTCATCGGAACATTTCAGTTAAAACGCGATCAGACGTTCTGGAGGAAGACGTTGTCGGTGCCGGACCAAACGTCAGTTCTGCCCTGCCTGGACGGAGACAAGGTCCGGTCTGGACACGAAGATGTGGTTTTGGTTTGTCTCTGAAGACATCAGTTCTGGTCCAGTCCGTCTCTTTCAGCACCAACATCTGAGAGGACTCTTTCTGAAGAGGATCTGTCTCTCTGGGGCGGCCATGATGGAAACAGAGGAGGAAGAAAAGCATGCTGGGTAATATGGAAAACCCAGAATCAGCTGAGTCACTGGTTGCCATGGTGATGCATAGCTTTTATTGAGCGGGGGGACAAATGTAATAAAAACAGATGAAACGTAAATTTTATGGATAAATATTTAATCTTGTTTCTGACTGGAGGCAAGTTGTTTCTCAGGTCGGACGAACTTTAAAGGATTATTATAATTTTACTCCAGCTGTAAGAAGTAAGTTGAGGTAACATCTGGATGAACAGAGGGTTTGATGTTCTGACCGTCTCCTTCCAGACGACTGTCGTCTCTCGGACTCACTTCTACAGAAAGTTCCCTCGGACCGGGAGTTGTCCCGCCTGGCGTCACAGCTTGGTACCCAGTGGGAGGCGGTTCTGATGGATCTGGGTTTGTCAGCAGAGGCCCTGTACCGCTGTCGGTCTGATCACAGTCTAAACGTGCAGTCGGCGGTTCTGGCCGGTCTGGTTCAGTGGAGGCGGAACGAAGGGAAGAAGGCCACTATAGAGAGACTGCTGCGGAGTCTGCAGGCTGCAGGAGTTCATCCTTCTGTTCTGGAGGACGTCCTCGTCTGATCCCTAATCTTCTGAAATGGTCCCCCCCCCATGTAACAGGTCTACACCTCCTGTAACAGGTCTACACCCCC